TCAAAAATCAATTTAAATAAAATGTCAGCGTCTTCGCCAGCGAGGCCCAGTAATCATCCAAAGTTCAAAATAATCACTTTTTTTCTTCTTTTGTCACTTTCTGAGTGAGGCAGAAACACTTTTTAACCTCCTGCCTGGGTAATGAAGTCCTGTTTGGACTCCAGTTCATCATAAAACGAGGCTTCCAGGAATCTCGCCTTCAGAAATCCATGGCAGTGCGTCTCTCAAACTTATATTCACCTTCACTGGCATCTGGCTACGATTTTTTCCCACCTTCAAATCCCTCCATGTCTGAGCTCCTTTACGCCCTTTCAAATGGAGCTTTAGCAGAGGTTCAAGCTGGAAGACTCCGCCCCCTCCGTTCACCCATCGACGTCATGCTCATCCCCGTCCTCAGCCTGGACCTCACCCTGCTATCAGGCTCTGCATAAAAGGATCCACACCCAAACCGTCAGACGCTTCCCAGCTGCGTTCAACCCACCACCTCCCCATCTCCACCCTCATCCGGGAGAGCATCCCTAATCAGTTATCGGGATGTTCATCGAGTTCACATCAAATCTCAGCTCAAATCAGCTGCCGGGGCCCGAGCGCCAAAGAACTGTTATTCATTGCTGTCATTAAATCTTTTAATTGTTCCTTGTTCTCCGTCTGAGTCTTTCCAGATTGAACCTCTGTTACCTTTACACCCAACTCTACTCCCATTCCCTAAAATATACAATTTTAGGGATTGGGAAGAAACCAGAAGAAACCAGATGTTTACATACAACAAATGCAGTTTCTCCTCAGTCTGAAGTTAAATCTGAACAAAATTCACTTTTTAAGAAAACATAGTTGGGCCATTTTTTTAGAGATTTGCTTTCATATGTTTACATACATTTGGTGAATATTCTGCCTTTTCATGTCTTCCCACATCTTCTCCATAAGATCAGGACTTTGTCTAGGCCATTCTTTGACTTTTTCCTTTGGTTTGTAATCTGGAAGACCAATCTGCTTCCAATATTTTACTTCCTGCTTCAATATTTCCACATAATGTTCGTTCCTTGTGATGCCATCTGTTTTATGAAGTGCACCAGTTCCTTAAGCAGCAAAACAGCCTCACAACATGATGCTGCCACCACTAAAAACCACATTTAGGATGGTACAACCGTCCCCAACAGTCATTATGGTCAAACAGTTCCACATGTAATGACTACAAATCATGTTTGCAAAAACGAAGATCTTGGAACATTTGGAAAGTCTAATCTGGCTTTTATACGTTTCTTCTGAAGTGATGGCTTCTTCCTTGCTGAGCGGCCATTCAGCCCATGTGGATAATGACCTTTGAACTTGGTGCCTTCATGTGCTGGTAAATTGTTCCCAGAGATGATCCAGACTGGAGCAGCTGTTCAGTTCTCTTCCTGATTTTATTTAAATTTCCCACCGTGTGAAAGCGTGTAACCTTAAAATAAATCCTCAGGTGTGACTCCAGTTAACTCAGATGTGTCTGTTTGTATCAGACGTTTGTATAAGGTTTGACCAATTGCACTTGAATTCAAAGAAAGTTACAAAAAATCTCTAAAAAAAAAAAATTTAGTAAATATAAATATTTTTGGTAATTCTATATAACCTAAATCAAGATAATTTTGATCTGATTTATCTTCACATAGTGAGAAAAAATATCTTTTTATTCAGTGTATGTAAACATCTGGTTTCACTGAACATCCTTCATATTGCTAAGTATCTTTTCTGTAGCAAGAAGCCGAAATATTACGATTTTTGTCTTTCAGTCTTCGTTTGTAGAAAACCCACCTTGAAGAGCAGCGTGGGAAGGAAAGAAAAGGAGAAAAAGGTCGTGGCCGGCGCAGTTGAACCCAAACCCAGCCACTCATTTGCACAATGGCAGCGTGGTCACGTGTTCGCTCACGCGCCGCGGCGGCCGCCCTGCGCTGAGGTTGAGGTCAGGCCGGCGTTCCTGCTCTGCTCTCTCCTTGTTCAGCCGGTCAGATAACCGTTAGCGCTCCACTCCGCAGTGCTGCGCCGTGTAATTATCGTTTGCTGGGATAATCAGCAGTGCTAAAAGGTGATGGATGACGGGGGAGCGCGTTGCAATAAACCAAGCAGGCAGTCCTCTGGTCTAATAAGCCGGAGCACTCAGCCGGGCGCTTCCACGTTCCTGGTTTATCTGACTTGTTTTATATCAAAACACGGTGCAATTAGAGGCTTTATCTACTGTTCAAATTGTTAAACATATGAGAGAGTAAAAAAATGAAATAGGGCTGAAATTTATTGTTGTAGATAATGAAAAGCTCTCAGCATTTTATTATATTAATTGCTACTTTTTGTGTGAATTTTGGTGCTATAAATGGGAGAAAATAATCATTTTCTTTCAAATTTCACATCACTTGAACTTATTCATGTTTTATCACAACTTTCCTTTATAAATGACCTGAAAACGTTTTTAAGCATAAAAAATCTAAAAAGTTTGCATTTCTTTGTTACTGTTGCAGTAACTTGATGCCCGGCTGAGATGTTTTAAAACATTATTGTTTTGATTACATGTCGTTTCACACACCTGCCTGCGTTGTATCCAGCTCTGTATGATGACCTCCTTTCGCCCTGCAGGGACTCGACTCTTTCAGAGAAATGTAGATCTGTGTAACATCACCGCGGCTCAGGCTTTGATCTCGTTTCTCTTTTCTCACTCCAAAGTTGAACGTCGCAGCTCTTGATGAAGCGCTGCGACGTTCAAAGCCTCAGCGTTGGATGTCTTCCATCGGTCAGAAGTAAAATGGATCCGCCTGAAGATCAGCTGAACTCTGCTTCCTGTTTGACCCAGCAGAACATGGCGGCTGGTCCTACTAAGTGTTTGGTTCTGTTTCTTCATGCTGGACCAGAAACGGCACCGCTTGCATTGGGCGTCTGTCCCAGCGCCTGAATCTGACGTTATATCTGCTCAGATCTGCTGACTCCTCTGCCTGCATTAAACAGTTGCTGAATCTGGAAATCATAGAACAAAGTATTGAAATATTTATCTGAGTGGTGTGACTTGAGTAAATGCTTTTAGCTCCACAGCTGCAGGTTCCCTTAAGGTGACAATTTCTGCAACAGACGCTGAAATCAGAAGTTAATGTTCGCCCTGAGGTGAAGGAAAAACTCTGGTAATGCACATTTTGGGCCCGTTATTAGAGGGTTTTCTCACCTCAGAAAGCATTTATTCTCTTTAAACTTTCTGTGATCTTGCAACCACAAACCTAAATGTGAGCAGTCAAGGATATTTTATGGTTTTTTTTTCTTTTTTTTTTTTTTTTACGTTTTAATGCTCCCATTTGACTCTCAGCCACTTAACAAAAAAAAACAAACAAAAAAAAACACTCAGTCGGTTTTTAGCAGTAACTTTGTTTTTTTTGTTATCTGGAAAACAACCTGTTTTAAAAATGTTCAGTTTTTCGGTCACTCTGTGCCGTTACCTAGCAACCTCAGCCGAACCCAGCCCGTTGCCTAGCAACCAAAGTGAAACTGGCCTGGCCAGCTGCAGCTTATTTGGATTTAAAGTGACAAGACGCCCTAAAAGAGCTCATTCAGAAAGGTCAGAAGTGATTATAATATCACATTAATTCAATATAATAACAGGTTTATTCAACATAATCATGTTTATGCATTTTAATTATTACATTCGTACAGTACTTCACGTTTATGCAAAAGCTAGTTTATACTATTTAAATATCAGATTTACAATACAATGTTACTTTTATAACTTATACAAGTTTATTCAAAGTAATATCACATTTATACAATAAATTATATTTATGCAACATATATGTCATATATATGTCATAATAGCATCCAGTATATGATTATGCAATATAATTATCACATTTGTACTATACTTTACATTTATACAATTTAAGTATCGTGTCATAATGTGATAGTGTTCAAAATGTATTTCCCTTTGACAACAATGTGCTTCCGTACAAATGGAAAGATTACTATTTTATTTTTAAAGCAGTATAAAATTTGCTCCATACTTTTTTTGACTGATTGTTCATAGTGGCTCTAATTGAATGTGTAAAAACATAAATAAATCCACATCCTGAAGTGGCTCTTTCTGAGGTCAGTCCTTGTGATTTTGGTTCTACAGAACCAGGACAGCGGAGACCTCTGGCCCGCATGTGGACAGTCAACGAGCTTGTTGTCCACGAGGGCCTGGAGAGAGGAGAGTTTCCTCACCAAAGTGGACGTCAACAAGCAGCTAAAACGCCGTCCTCTGCTTCCCTGAAGGGGCTATTTTGTTTTATGACCTTTAACGATGGCAAAGTTAATAAGAGATTTTTTTTTTTTATTTATTTTGACAAATTCGAGTGTGAAATCCAACAGGAATGGAAGGGTAGCTGGTAATTTGGATGTTTTCTTTTTGTTGTTGTTTCCAGTCTTGGTTATTATGCTTTAAAAAGTTTCCTCATCCTCTCTGGTTTGTTATAAATCAACTTCTGGACCAAATTCTGACCAATGGCGGCCATTGTTGCCTTCTTAACGGTCACACAGAGGAGACTGAGCTGGCTTTTTTGTGTCCAGCCCTGGCCCTGTTGGAAATTAGTTTGAACATCTCCCTTTGGCTCAACAAACATGCGCCCAAGTCGACCAGACAGCCGAACGTTTAATGGAAAGTTTTTCCCCTTTTAGGACAAAAAGTCAGCAGATCTGTCTCCTCCATAACCCTGCGGTTGGTTGCACAGACGACGGACTCAAATGATCCGTTTGTAGCAGAAGGTTGGCGTTTCATTCTAAAATAAGATATGGATGGTCCCGTAAACAGGCTTTATTTACAATGGCATTGTTCAGACAGCAATTTATTAAAATCAAGCCGTTTGTTGTTATAAGGTTGGATGTTGGTGTGGAATAGATGGTAAGCAATGAGTGAGAAAAGTATTGGAAAAGTATTTTTGCCTGAAATGTCCATTTCTGGTTCTTATTTAACATGTGAGGAGTTTACTAACCACAGATCCAAAACGTTTATGTTGCAGTCGGAGGAAATGGCGTTTCGATGGCACATCCCATGCTGTAGAAGTCCTTGTATTCATGGCGGTGTTCCTGGACAGAGTTATGGTGGAGCCCACTCCTTTGGATGGTAAGCAACCCCCACATATGCATTGGCTCAGGATCCTTAATTTTTGGAAACGACACAGGACTAATAGCAGCTCTGGCCATTTATTCCCCAAATGTTGCAACCACGAGATTTATCAGAGAAAATAACCTGGTTCCAGTCTTTACTTCTTGAAGAATTTCAAGCTCTTCTTTGGACACTCTGCTGTATTCAACAGGTTTTCCTGTTGAAGGCAGGGATCCTTGTGTTTTAACTTCATGTATCTATAGTAAGGTTTTAAACTGTGAAGTTTATACATTTATGTGGTCTTAAATTCCATTCATAATGGTCTTGAAAAGTCTTGAGATGGTTGAGACTACTGGTGATTCACTGTTGACATACCCTTGCTAGCTAGCTTTTTTGCTAGGTCTTTATGTATAAGACCATCATGAATAAAGTTGGGTCTTTAACTTCATTCATAAAGGTCTTAAAAAAACTTAAATGTGTCGCCAGTAATGTCAGTGAAGTTTGTACATTTCTGTGGAGATATAGGTCTTAAATTCTATTCATTATGGTCTTAAAAAGTCTTAATTTTTAGCTAGTGAAACCTGCAGAAACCCTGCTAGAGTGTTTCTGCAGGAAAAGGAAAGTCAGCATCCAAACTCATGAAAACCATGTGGAAGTTAGGACTTGATCAATTTGTTGAGGCCAGGGAGCTGAACGGTTTGTGCTTGTGTTGCAGGACAGAAAAAACATCCCTCTGAAGTGAACAAAAACAAAAAATAAAAATAAATCTGAATGGTTCCGTAGAATGATCCTAAATGCAGCTGAAGGTTTTTGCACAGCTCTCAGGGCTTCTCAACTTAAAAATAATCACAAATCTCTGGAAAGAATTCAAAATCAATTTTGCAGCGGAAAGTTAAAAATCTCTGAATTTGGGTGAACTATTCTTAGATGCTCTGAAAAAGGTGTTGTAGTTTATTTTATCTTCCTGTATCAGGGTTTGGGTCAGGATAGAACCCAGCTGGTTCTGGTGGGCCCATGTGGCGGCCTGGTAGAGTCCCAGGAGCCAGCTGGTCCCCAGGCTGTTGGCTGCTGGCAGGGAAACCAGCTCCTTTGTTCCCTTGTGGGAATATTAGCTACCTTGACTGTACTGGGATCTTTAGACTGGTTCTGGATCTGGTCTGCTGGGACCAGTAAGCTGTGGAGGATCCAACATGGAGCCTCAGAGCCAGAGAAGAGGACTGCATCCATCCATCAGTCCATCCATCATCCATCCAACCAACCAACCGTCCATCCATCATCCATAAATTCCGTTCATTAGTCCATCCGTCCATAAAATCATCTATGCATCCTCCCATCCATGGGTCCATTCACATGTTTGCAATTCATTCATCATTCATCCATCCATCCGTCCGTTCATCTGTCTGTGATTTCAGCTAAGCAGGGATAGTTTGGTGTTGGGATAAATGTGATAAATGAACCTCGTTTTTCCCATCAGAGTTTGCAGCAATAGGAAAATGAACAGAGTGAAGTCCAACATGAAGGAAGAGTCGTTTCATGGTTTTATTACAAAAGTTGAAAAAGCCGTCTGAGACATTGCAGATGCCCTAAAATCCATCAGAAAGCTTTTAACCAATAAAGCCTCAGAATCTCTGCTGAGTTGCACCATCATCTTCATCATGTCAGTCACTGTGGCTTAAACCGTATTCAGACTGATCTGATGCAGACGCATGTCAGGGTTTCTGGGAGCGATGGATGACAGCCCGCTTTGTTTTTCCTTCACTTTAAATCATTCATGCTTCAGGGGGTGGCTGGGGCGGCAGAGATAACAGCTGCTGGAGTGGAGGGTCACCGTGGCAACCAACACACAACCAGTAACAGCTGCTGGAGTGGAGGGTCACCATGGCAACCAACACACAACCAGTAACCAATGGTGGAGTGGAGGGTCACCATGGCAACCAACACACAACCAGTAACCAATGGTGGAGTGGAGGGTCACCATGGCAACCAACACACAACCAGAAACAACTGCTGGACTGACAGACACATACATCCATTCATCCATCCACCTAACCAACCGTCCAACCATCCATCAATCGTCCGTCCGTCTCTTCAGCCTTCCATCCATCCAATCATCTGTCAGTCTTCTGTCTGTCCATCCATCCTACCATCTACAAATCTTCCATCCATCTGTTCAGCCATGTATTTATCAATCTTCCATCCCTCCCTGCTAAGCGGAGATAGTTTGGTGTTAGGATGTGGTAAACGTGTCGGATCCTCGTCTTTCCCATCAGAGTTCGACCTCAGTAGGAAAATGAACATGAGGGAACAGTTGTTTCAACATGAGGGAACAGTTGTTTCATGGTTTTATCATAAAACAGGAGGACTGGAGGTTTCCTCTGACATCCAGCACACACTCCTGTTTGTGGGTGCAGCCGTTGTGTTTTGGGCCGGACATTAAAGCAGACGGACACAGGAGGGCCGTTACCTCGGAGGCACCGAGCCCACTTCTCATTACTGCTGCTTTTAGCCCAGCTGATGTTCACCACCTACTGAATTATACATCCGCCTCTAATTTGAGGAAGGATTTTAATATCAAGTGTGCTTTATCTCTATGAAAAAGCTGCAGGCGGATCGACTTTCCCCTCCGTCTACCTTCGCCTCCTAAATGAGAGAGATTCTTGGCGTTCTGACCCAACTTAAGCAGCTTCTCGTAGAAATGAAAGCTTTAAAAAGAAAACAGTGAAATCAAGATTTAAAAGAAGCTGCATGACTCAGCGACTGGTAATGAGTTGTGTGATGTCAGGATAAACTGAGGTGAGGCAACAGACTGACATGCTGCAGAAACTGACTGCAGACCCCTAATAAGTCTTTCATTTTTAATACAGTAAACGATCTTTCACCTCCAATTTCACATGTAGCATCTGAAATATTACCGAGCATACAGAGAGCTTGCATATGGAAGAGGGTTAGGACCAAAAAAATAAAATAACATTTTGACTTTAATCTCAGAATTCTGAGTTTTTCCTCAAAAC